TATAGGCAGCCCCCAGTGTTCACTCTAGATTTCTGTGTCCTTCATGTGATAGTGGTATAGGGTCCCCGTTGTGGTTTCTACTATCTATACCCTCCCAAAGTTCTAAGGTAAGAGAATAAAGCCATTGCTTTCCCCCCACCTTCCTGGAAAAGAGATTACTTTCTTTGTAGAGCAAGAGTTTCATCCACTTTATAACTACTCAATACTGGGTCTTCTATATAGCAACAACCATTAAACCCATACCTTATCAACACTATTTTACCCTATTGCATGACATTTAGCAAGCACCTATGCTTGTTCTTCTACCTACTTTATTATTTCAACCTGGCCTTCAATGGCATTTTCCTAACTGACTACTGTTCAAGTCATCAAGGACCTCCTAACTGCTACAACCAATGGACAACTGACCTCTCAGTGCAGTGCACACTGTCCTCTGGTCCATCCCATCACTCTATGCCAAGTTCTCCTGGCCTGTCTACTGACTTGTTCCATCTCTCCTTTATCTTCTCCCCAAAGTTAGTGGTCCCCAGGATTCAGATGAAGCACCCCTTTCCATCTCACATGATACTTTCCATAGCTGAGTTCATCTCTACCCAAGGTTCTGACCGCACTCTTGCTGCCAATCTAGATTCTCAGCACCTGCTCAGCCTGACTCCTTCTTTCCTAGTAGTCCTACCCAACTAGTGCATCTGCACTCAACAAAACATCATTTCCTCCTCACCCTCCCGGTTTAGTTCTGCCTCCTGAATTCCCTACCTTAGCACAACATCATTATTCACTAAGTCATGCAAGCTAAGAAACTTAGACTCATTTATAATCCATGGGGTCACAAATACTTATATTTAAAAACACATTTAAAAAAAGACCATCAAATAAAGACACCCACTGACTAACTACTGTCTGTTATTAGGACACAGCTACTTTTTCTTCAGCAGTCCTAATGGTACCCTGGGTACCAGCCCTACTGGGACTCCAACCCACTTCTCAAGTGTCATCTCCTCCCATGCCCTCAGAGCTGACTTGAGTCACACGAAATGACTACAAGACGAGGTCCTTGCATAGCTCTAGGCTTGAGGTTTCTGCCTAAGCTAGAGATTCTCACTAGGGGACAATTTTGCCCTGAGGACATTTGGTAATATCTAGAGCCATTTATGGTTGGCACTCTGGAGGGAGGTTTGATTGGTGTCTAGTGTGTGAAGGTCTTGGCACCCTACAGTGCATCAGACAGTCCCCCAGAAGAAAGAATGATCTGGCTCCAAATGTAAACAATGATGAGATGGAGGACCCTGCCCTGGAATATCCTACTAGAATGGCTATTCCTCTGGACAGGGAATGGATTGTACCCATCTTTATTTTTAGTGTGCTAAATAAATGAATTAAAGAAGAAATACCTACAGAGAATACAAAGTATTTCCAAGCAAATAATTCAGCTCCCTGAACATCTCTGGTATCATAATTCTTCCGTTCTAAGAGACACTTTTTAAAATATTTTATTTATTAATTTTATTTTATGTGTATGAGTATATTGCCTGCATGTGTATAAGTGCACCTGTGTCATGCAATGACCATGGAGGTCAGAAGAGGGTGTCAGACCCCCCAGGAACTGGAGTTATGGATGATTGTTAGCCACCATGTGGGTGCTAGGACTCAAACCCGGGTTATCTGTAAGAGCAGCTAGTACTCTTAACCACTGGGCCATCTCTTCAGTCCCCTAAGAAACACTTTTATTCCCCCCAGGTTTCTAAAGCTGATCACTAACACTGTTGTATCACAAATGTAGGTTTAATATTTATACAGTTTTTTTTATAGGAAAGATTAAGTGTTGTTCAAGATAGGCTTAACCAGATGTCTTTAGACAGTCTGCTAAATTAAATAAAATATAAAATAAGGACCGGGAAAATAATGGAATGTTAAAATAAGCACATATTTAAAACATTCATCTTAGGAAAAATTATTAAAGAAATTATAGAAATGCATGATCTTGAGATTAATGACTTTAAAATAACTGAGACATAAAACATTTAAAGTTTTACTATTATATTTAAGCATTTACTTATCTAAGATTAAATAATTGATAATGAACAGAAAAACATTCATAATAAGAAGAAAAAAATATAAAATGTTTCTTACAGAAACATGAGTATAAATAGACAAGCCCGAGCAGAGTCCTAAGGTATATTAAGTAACAAGGTAATGAAATCTCTGAGCATCCTAACTGCACAACAAAGGAGATTCAGAAAACAGAGAGGGCAAGTGACATAATAATAGAGTACACTAGCTACAGATTTTAGAAACCTCAGCAATAATTTTGGGAACTGTCTACTTTAGCTCCTTAACCTATTTCTTGATTAAGCTGATAAAATAGCACACACATCACTGAAACATCCCATTTCTCTTTGCAGATCAAAAGTCATCACACTGCCTTTACATAAGCAATACTACATTTTGAAAGGTGCCCCATAAGACACAGAAGCCAGTCAGTGCTGCTCTTTGCGATGCAGCCTTCACAGGTCCACCTTCAGCCACAGCCTGTGTCCCAGATACAGGTGAAAGTTTTCACTGCACATTAAAAAGTGGTCATTATTGAGCTGTGGATTTGTGGATCACACTGAGCTAGAAACTTGACACCACACTGCTGGAAGCTGGTAGCTAAACACACATAAAAACATCCGGAGGCACCTCTGCTTCAGAAATCAGGGTCTCTGACCGAAGCAGTGATTCGATTTCACCCCTGCTTGGTACAGATAGCTGACATTACCAAGAGCTACTCTAATATCAACTTGTTAAATGTGAATACAGACTCAGCAGATCAGAACAGGAACCCAGACTAACTGGAGACATGGGAAATATTTTGGGAGCTGGTTATTTATAAGTGAGTTACAGTATACCACTATAGTTAGATTAATATGCAATTATTGATAAACACAGGAGTATTTCTGAAATTTCATTATTGTGGCCACTGCTGTGATTAGAAAAGGCCTAAATATCTTTCTCTTAAAACAAGCTCTTGATTTACCATCTGTCAGATCAATTTAGGCCAAGTACAAACTAAAATTAACTTATCATATTGCTTACAGTATTTTTTTTTATAAATACAGGTTGTTCGATAAACTTGTAAGGGAAGAACAATTTAAAGCTCTTAGACAAACAGCACCCTTTTGGATTCTTCCATAATCAATAATCTCTCAAAAACAAGAAATGACACAAAGCTAGGCATTCAGATGTTACAAAACAATATCTGTTAGTTTGCCTAAAAGTTTAAAGACCAGTGAAAATGACTCACATACATGCAGGCAATACACTCATACACATAAAATAAAAATAATAAATAAAATATAAAAAAAGACCAGTGAAAATGTAGATTCTTAGCAATGCAATTGGCATGCAGCTTACATTTCATTAAATACATTTAAAATGTCCTTCTGAAAAGCATCAATAACAAACAATAATGTTACCACAATAGCAACTATCTTAAGAATATTTCTATAATTCTTTCTAGGTTAATCATTCCTCTCTGATTGTTTTGAATATAAAATAATTCTATAAGGAACATTAATTGAACAGCAGACTATTAACATTTCTTTAAGCTCCACTTAATTTCTTTTCCTTTTTGGGGGGAGGGGGACTTGAACAGATATTATAATCTCCTAAAAACTGTTTTTGAAGAGTTTTCTAAATGGAATCTGATCTCTACATACTCAGTAAAGTAACTGAATAGTAACATCTGGGTATTGGTAACAATTATTATATTTACCAGATTTAAGACAGAAAAGAGTCAGTTAATATATTATTTGCCAAATCCAGAAGTTGGGTTTTCACAATTTTTAATACAGATATTGGGTGTTATGTAAACAGGTAAGGTTCCTCATCCCTCAGAACACTACATGCTGTCATCTAGAACTACTTTAGTCAAAAGAAAATTAGTTTCCTGGAATTCCCTAAGATTTTCCAAATATAGAAATTTTAAAAACTATTTTAGTTCAAAACACTTTAAACGCTTTTGAAAGGACAAATTACATAAAGAGCCATTCTGGCTAAGATTTGTTAAATTACTAATATAATAAAGTAAGATCATCAAAACAACAAACTAATATGGTAAAGAGAAAATTATGGGAGCTCCCTAGTAGTTGTAAGCCAATTCAACCAAATAAAACAAAAATCAATATTGTTGGAAAGTGAGTTACAGTTTAGGAGGCAATTTAACTGGTAACTGAAGAAAAATAGGGTGGATACAAAATTCCTGTGCTTAGGGTATATATAAATGCAAAAGCCATTTATTTTTCCTGGGCTTTAAACACGCAATATAAGTCTTTTTAACTGGTGATCTTATAAACATATGTATTTTAACAAGATATTTATCAATGTTCAGTTATAAGATCTTTACATTTTTATACTTTTGATTTAGTTTTTGGTTTTTTTTTGTCTTTTTTGAGACAGGGTCTCCCTGTAGCCCCAGCTGTCCTGGAACTCACTATGTAGACCAGGCTGGCCTTGAACTCACAAAGATCCAGCTGCCTCTGCCTCCTGAGTGCTGGGATTAAAGGCGTGTACCACCAAGCCCGGCTGGTTTAGTATTTTTTTAATTTTAGTATTTTTAAATTCTTTGATTTTTTTTTTTTTTTTGAAATGACTGAGGAGGGGAGAAAACTAAATGACCACTTTGAAGGTAGGAAGAGCATATGGGGAACACAGCAGTGAACATACCAGGATTGAATGCTATGAAAGATGGTCTTTTAAAGCTTGTTTTGATACTCTAGAAACATTGTATGGCTTAAACCATGTGGGAAAGGTGTTTTGTTTCTTTTTAAATAGCATGTCTACTAGTAAAATAACAAAGAGTGAAAAAATTATTCAGATTTACAAATACAAAGTTGATGATTATCAAATACTTCATAGCCAAGAATCAGAAAAGAACACAAACTGCTGTTATATCAATTATAACCCAATTATTATGTTATTCTAACATAAATCAGCATTTAGCAAGACTGAAGGAAACTTACCTCACAGGAATTGGGCAGTTCATTTGCAAAATCTCTGTCTCTGGACAAACTGTCAACTTTACCTTCATTTCCAGATGCAAACTTTATGAGTAACTGAGATGGTCCCCCTTTGGAACAACTGTGCTTCAGGCTGGATAAACAGGAAACGTTTGGATACCTTTCTCCCAGTGAAACACTTCTTTGTAAAACAGTGTGGTTTTTATTTCTCTGTGAATTTGGTCTTTCCAACTCTCCACTGATACCTATCTGACAATCCATGCTTGGGGTGGCTGTTGAACACTGGGATGACCTATGAATGACCATGCTGTGCTCCGAATCAGACCTGAGCTGAATTTCTGACTTCTCTGATCTACAGTCACCAAGGGTTACTTCACAATCTGACAAGGTTGCTTTTCGTTGGGTCAAGTGCACGGAAACACAAGAATACCCCTCGGGTGACCTCTCACAGGCCGTCTGTCTTGGACTATTATTGGAAATGACAATTTTCTTTTGCGATGAGCCGTTGGCGTGGAGGGGCCGAACGTCTCTTACTTCTCCGGGGGTACAAACCATTTTAGATAATCGAAGTCCATTGACAACTGTGGAAAGGAAGCCCTTGGCATTGGTACCATCTTCATGATGTGCAGTTTCACTGGGAGAGAGCACAAACTGGTGTGAGGTCTGGTAGGCACCTTTGCTGGGAAGAACGGCTGTGTTGGTGGGGGAAGTTGGTGGGGTGAAGGAAGGACTCCTGGGGAAGATGACCAAGGACGAGCAGCGTTTCAGTGGGCCCTTCCCATTTCGGCTTGCAGGCACTTTCTTAATCTCTAGTCCATGATCCAGGTCCTCCTGGACAAAGGGAACCGCACTAGAGCTTCTGGGCAGAACTTCACAGGGAGCCGTGTTCCTGTCTGGCACACTTCTGTTGGCGGTGCCCTCAGAAGGTAAATTTCCACCAAAAAGACTCTCATCACTGGGTAGAAAGGCATAACCACTTCCATCGCTGTTGACGCTATTAGCATAGGAACCTCCGCTAGTGAGGCTTGCACACGACCCGCAGTCACTGCCATGGCTGCAGTAAGACCCATTGTCACTGGCTGAGAAGTTACCGAGGCTGCCACTGCAAACGGCAGAAGTACCCAAAAGGCTGCCATCACCCACAGAGTTCAGTTCACTGCTAGCCCCAGCGCTGTGGCGAATGCTGTCCTTCAAGACACAAGTAAACGCAGCATCGTCCCCGGCCGGGACGGGGCTGGATGGAAGGCGCCCACCGTACCTTGGCTGCAGTGAGATCTGCAGGCAGCTGCTCTTGCTAACATTTTCAGAGGCTCTCTGCTTTACCCACGGAGCCAGCGCCGTCTGTCTGGGGGTCAGCCTCATCTGAACAACGCTAGCCGGGATCCGCGCTGGTCTCCTGCCGCGTGAGGGAACGTGGCTATCCAAGTCATCTCCGGAGGTTTCCGACAGAGGGTAAGTATTACTTCTCCTGGCTGCAAAGTGCAATCGCAAGCTCTGTGCCATTTGTTCTCATTCCCAAACATGTTAAGGGCTGAGAGTCAAAACAAAGATCTCTGTCCGTAGACAGGCCAGCAGCAGCTGAGCTGCATCCAGAGGAAAAATCCTTGGTGGTGCCTGCAGCTAGCTAGGAGTTGTCTTTATCCTAAGGGCAACTTGGAATACCAGCTACATAGAGAGCAAAGGACAAACCGTGCCTGAGACTGTGGTCAAAACGCCTTCACTTACAAAGCCCTTGGTTTCCAGAGACCTTTAAGCTGAGCTCAGCAGCAGCGACTCGAACACAGCCAACCTTGTTTCAATTATACCTTCCCCAATTTGCATGAATGAGAGAGGCAAGAACGAGCTCCTAGCATTTCAAGCTGAACGGTGGTTTTCACCCAGCTCTACTAAATGAACATTTAACTCCGTCAATCTCAGCGCCTACGCTCTCTCCAGCAGAGCTTGACCACTAATATTTTTACCCAAAGGTATAGAATTACAGGAAGTTGGTAGGAACCGAAACCCTGTGTAATTGAGTATCAAATCAAAGATTGAATTTCCAAATAGCCACACTGAGGGCTCTAGTCAAGTTGGTTAACACGGAAAGGAATATGAACTGTTGTGCTTTTTTTAATGAATAAATTAAAGCAGTTATATAAATTTGGAAAAACAAAATCTTTGGGGGCAAAAATTTTAATATTAAATTACATAGATAAATATTTTAGCAAAGTGCCAGTTATAAAAAGTGAAAGTATACAGACAGATACAAAATGATAGTCTAGTAACTGTTGCAAACCCTGAACACCAGGAAAAAAAAAAAAAAAAACTTAAGAGAAGCTGTCACCGACTATTTTCTCCTGTAATTTTAAGGCTTTTTACAGCCAAGTAGTACAGTCTCTAAATGATGCCATTTATATTTTGACTATTAAAACCCTGCCAAGAAATAGCCTAGGCAAACATTCCATTAAAAACATATGAAGATTAGAGAGAAAAACTATACCTCAATATAGTTTGAACACACTGGATATTTTATTCCAGTCTCTGCAATTCATTCACATAAGAGAGTGTTGTGGTAAGTAATGAAGTCTAAAAAGGATTTAACACATCAAATAAACATATCTCAATGCCAATTCTGTTCTGAAAAATTCTAGAGCTCTTTGCTGGCCCCTACTGGAGCTTTGAAACAACTTGTGTAGCTGTTTGATAGCTACAAAGAATACAAACCATGCCACATATTTCATTAAATAAACACAGTGCACACTTGCTTACATTTTTGCATACCGGCACTACCTTGAGGTGGAATTACTTAATAGAGCTGATAAAACTCTCACAGCAGAGAACAGTAGACAGTCTGTCCTTTTAGAGGTTGTGATTTTGTATGGATATATTTTTGCTAGGTGTTTATTTAACCTTTACTGCATTTTCAGTTTACTAGGGCAATAAAAGTTTAATATTTTAATTTCTCTCACAAATGACACAGACTCAGGTCGGTATTCTATTTGAAAGAAACAAATTTATTTTTAAATAATACTCTGGGGTATATTTAAACCCCTTACCTGGATTTTATAGTGTAGACTCCAGCAATAAATATATACTGGCTCATTCATAGGAAAAGTAAAAAGCAAAATAGTGTAACTGTTTACACCATACAGTTCTACACCCAACTTGTATTTTTCTAAGTGAGTTTTTTTCCCTAAGTAAAAGCAAACATGTAAAACATATACTCATATTTTGTTTAAAAAAGAAAACAGCTTAAGTTAGATCTGTTTCTAAACCCAATTTTTAAACAGTATTTTTAACCAATTAAGCCATGATAAAATTGAAATATGGGAATTTGTTAAGCTTTATTTGATTGGAATGAGATATGACTGCATTTTAGAAGGTGCATAATCATTATAAACTTAGCGATACAACTATTATGCTACTTTGGCTTAATATAACCCATTTCCCTATGATTTTACAGACTTCAGTAAACATACTTTATTATTCCTTTTCTTTAAAGGAAGAAAAGTCCTAATTATTTTCTTTCCTTCAAATTTTCTTTTTGGATTAAGTTAGGGGTTTACTATCTTAAATAGGTCACATCTAATTAGATAATCAGTGAGCTTTAAGTACACAGGCTTGTAACTGAAACTTCCAGGTAATAAAATCGCTCTTGATTATTAATATAAAATGGTGAATGTCGGTATTTGGCTAGATAAATGTTTTCTGCTTGGTAAACCAGGTTCCCAACAAGAATCCACTTCATGCTTTATGATGAGGTTTTAAGCTTCCACAGTGTGAGGACCATAACCAGGTATTTTCTTCTCACCCCCCTCAACTCCTGCTGAGCATAAGTAGGCATCCTGGAAGGATAAGGGATGGATGATGGATGCTGTCGAGGCAGCCACCTTGAGTTCCCAGTGCTTTCTTTCAATGTGGTGTTTTTGTTTGTTTGATGTTGATCTGGAGCTGGGGATGTAGCTCTGCTGATAGAGCACTTACCTAACATGCATGAAGGGGTAGGTTTAATCTCTAGTACCGAATACCTGGTATGGTGCTGCACACCTGTAATCCTAGCACTCAGGAGGTGGAGATAGGAGGATCAGAAGTTCAAGGTCATCCTCTGTTACACAGTGAGCTTGAGGCCAGCCTAGGCTACATGAGCTTATCTCAACAACAACAAGGACGGTCCACTTGCTACTTCTAAAGAAATATTCAAAAGCTCTACATTTGAATGAGAATGATACACAAAGAATTCAGCCAAGGAGAAGTCAGGGAAGATAATCATGCTTTGAAGCCCCAGAAGGCTGAACAGCCTGCATGGCAGACTCAGTTCTAAGACAGTGTGGGAGTTGTACCACCATCATCACAGTTGCACAAGAAGTGGGGATGAGTGTCAACCCTGACCTTAAGCCAGAGGAATTTGAAGGCCTCACCTGAGAAGGTACCAGGTTCATCCTGTAGAACTCCAGAGTCTGAAATGAAATGGACAATGCCTAGGGCAGAAGTTCAGACCTACACTTTGAGCTATTTGGTCACTAGTTATTTCCACACACAATAATGAGATTTTTATATGGTATGAACAAGCTTTAGGTAGTGCTTGAATACCAGTAGCCACTATGGTGGGTAACTGTACCTATCAACTCAACTAGGCTATGGTACCTCACTGTTTGGTTGAAGGTATTTTCTTAAAGCATCCATAGGTTGCTTGAAGGTATTTTTAAAAAGGTAGTAAATAGGAAACACAGTGGCCTTTTAATAAAAGCAGATGACCTTCCACAGTGTAGATGGGCCTCATCTAATCAGCTGAAGGCCTCAAAAGCAAAAACAGGGCTACAAAGAAGCAACTCTGCCTCTCCCTCCAGTACAGAAATCCTGCCTGCATTTACCCAGCTTTCCTGTAGATTCCAGACGTGTGCATCTGTACAACTTCGTGAACCAGTCTCTTACAATCTTGCCCTCTCTCAGACCCTAACCAATATCCCATTAAGTGTCAGAAGCAGTCTCTCCACCCAGAATGGGGGCATCCCCTAAGCCTCTAGTGGCTGAACACGTGCTGCTGTCATTCTTAGACTGGTGACATACAAACACCTCTGTGCTGGTGAGTAGATTATTTTAAGGCACATCATCCTGGCATTGCCTACCACACTAAAACACTACCATCACTATCAGCATCGCCAGACTACTGTATTTTATAAACCTCAACCCTTAAAATCAGCTGAAAAAAAGGAAATATAACCCTAATCTTTCTCAAATGCAAATATCATTTATAATATGGCAAACATTTTCCAGATGATTGGAAATTGTTTCTTCTTAAAATTATGCTTGTTCCCTTTACCCTACTTTACCAAAGAGATTTGCTAAGAAAGTGATAGCTGCAAATGCTACAGGACAATAGAGACACAATGACGTTTACAACGATAGAGCATCTGCTGCCAGTCAGCCTGGGACTCCACAATGGCTGTGGCTCTCATAGCATCTTGTGATCTCTGAGTTTCAGTTGCATGCTAGGACTGGCCACACCCAAGAGGTGACATCGCCCTGTTCTAATTTTCTCTGGCCCCTGTGAACTGCTACTGCATGCTTCTTGAAAAAAAAATTTGTTTCTAAGATACAGCCAAGGATCTGATACAGCAGATACACTAAAGGGTTCTCAAGCATTCTCAAACAGGTTCTCTTTCAACCTGAATCATCATGAAGACATTTCTGGGGTTGGGGTGGGGCTCAGTTGGTAGAGTACTTACTTGCCTAGCATGTCTGAAGGCCCTGGGTTCAATCCTCAACACTGTATAAACCAGGTATGGTGATGCAGGCCTGTAATCCCAGCACTGGGGAGGTGGAGGCAGAGAACCAGAAGCTCAAGATTATCTTCAACTACCTAAGAAGGGTGAAGTCAGTTTGGGATATGTGAGACCCTGCCTAAAAAAAAAATTCTGAGTATTTCACAGGCACTGTCTCATTTCATCATCATAATGCCCTTATGAGCCAGGCAGGGCAAACACTAAGAGGCTCATTTCACCAACTGACTGACTATAAATTTGGCTTTTTGAGACATGTCTCCTATAGCCTAAGCTGACCTAGAACCCCTCACGTAGATGGATGATCTGGAACTTCTGATCCTCCTGCTTCCTCTCCCAATCATATGATAGGCATGCACCTCTACACCCTGTTTCTGGATTCTCATTTTCTAAAGTGAGAAAATATTGTCTGATATGTCTGGGGTTACACAGTAATGTGCCAATCAGAGGCAGGACTTTAACAGTGTCAGTCCTTGGTGTGGGGGCCTATTATATCTTAATAAGTGACTTTGGTTTTTTTGTTTTTGCTATTTCTTTTAGACAGGGTCTCACTATATAAACCAGACTTGCCTAGAACTCACCATGTAGAGCAGGCTGGCCCCAAACTCATAGAGATCCACGTGTCCCTGATTCCAGAGTGCTGGGATTAAGTGCCAACACACTTGGCATGGCTTTGATTTTGCCTTAAAAGTTTTAAAGTTTTGGGGTTGGAGAGATGGTTCAGTGGTTAAGAGCACTTGCTGTGCAATCATGAAGACC